ATTGCGGGCGGGCGGCTGTGCGGTGCGAGCCCGGCGAGCTCCTGCTTCAAGGCCTTCACGGTGCGCTCCTTGAGCTGGCGGTTCGAAGGGTCGCTGGCGCCCTTGCCTGCCGAAGCTCCCTTGGTGGCGCCCTTGGGCTGCTCGCGCTGCTCCTCCTGGCCAAGCGGGAACAGCCGGCCGGGCTGCGGGCCTGCCGGGGCGGCCCCGGCGTGGGAAGAGCCCGCCCGTGCGGCCTTGCGGGGGCCCTCCGTGCCCGACTCGAAGGCCCGCTTCTCGCCGCTGGGCTGGTACTTCGACTGCAGCGCGTACTCGGCGAGAATGAGGTCGACCCCAAAGTCCTGGAGGAGGACGGAATGGTCCACCGGGACCAGCGCAGATGGTTTGACCGTGCGCTTCTTGTAACTCTTGATTGCATGGTACATAAGCGGCATCATGGACGCTCGCTGCGCCTCGGCCCTGGCGGGGCCGGTCTTTTTGGTGTTCCGAACGCACGTGAAGCGCTTCTCTACCAAGTGAAACAGCGCCAGCAAGGACCGAGATAAAGCACGAACATTGATGTCAGCACTCTCACCCCTCTCCGACAAAAACACGCGGAGTTTGTCCGAAGAACCGCCCCTGTCCTGCAAGCAAAGGGTCTTCCACGAGTGATGCGCCCCATGCTTGCGAACAGCATGTTGGCGAAGCGCTTGAAGCTCTGCGTTATCAGGGTGAGCTGCCTGGAGCGCCATGATCGGCGCAAGGGACGGGTCTCTCATGGCATCTGCGGCGGCCGAGAGGTCGTCTGGGTCTGCCATCAACGCAGCCCACGTGTTGGCCCACTGCGGCGCACTCAGGCCCCGGAGCTGCTTGCGGTAGGGGAAACTCATGTCGGCGAGCCGATCGGCTTCACTGGCGATTGCGGTGAAGACCGCCCCTCCGTCGGAAAGGCTGTCGCCGATTGCCTTCTGAGCGACGCTCTCCGCACACATCTTCACGCAACCATCGACTGCGGCCGCCTGAATCGTTTCCTTGACGGCTGTGTGGATGGCACCAGAAGGTTGACATGCTTCCGCAATGAGTTCCTTCAAACGAGTCTCGTCTGCTGCCATGGTATGGACAGGGGGCTGGTGGAAAGCTGCGCACGCACGAAGTCTCAAACGCTCGAGCCAGACCGGCTACGGAGACCGGGGCGCAGTGCGAGCGAAACCAGACCCCCGATAACCATTTCTTGCCCGCGCTACACATGACGTTTTGACCCCGGGGCACCGAGGTCAACTGCTCTCTCCCAAGCCGACGAGATTGGGACGAGAGCTCCGTGCACACGCGCGCCGGCACCTATGCCGCCTCCCGCGTGCAGAGCAGCCATACACGCTCCCCGTCCCCGCTCTTCCTTCCCAAGTACGAAGCGGGGGAGGGGGACGATGGGAGGACAGGGCGACGGGGCGGAGGGGCACGGGGTGGGGGGGCGAGGCGAGCAACACCATTCCCTTTCTGCGCGCTGAAGGAGGGCGGAGAATGGTGAAGTGAATAGAGGGAAGGAGGTTGGCAGAATGGGGAGGCAAAGCGAGAGCCTGCGGGTCGGCGGGCGCGCTCCCCCCTTCTCTCGCCGTCCCTCCCTCCCACATTCACCCTCTCTCTCTCTCAGTCCCTCTCTCTCTCTCTCACTCTCTCTCTCTCTCTCTCTCTCTCTCTCTCTCCTGAGGTTGGAAGAATGGGGAGGCAAAGCGGGGACCTGCGGGTCGGCGGGCGCGCTCCCCCCCCCTCAGCCGGCCACCCTGCCACCCTCTCTCTCGCCCTCGCACTCTCCCCGACCCTTTTTGTTGCCGTAGCTATGGAACAGACGATGATGAAAATGATGTTTGTTTCACCCTTGCGCCTGCGCTTGTTCGCCAGCTGCCAGTTCTGCAGGACGGAATACTGCAGGTCTGTACGGGGGCCGTGCCTGGCACCAGCGGTGGACACCCACCGGAATAAATCGGAGCCCGCCTGCCACGAGCGGACTCGATGCCAGTTCCGCAGCAACGACACGCGGAACCACGGAGCAGTCGTGTCCTCTGGAATAAGGATAACGATGCGGGCGTCGCAACCGGCCGCCGCCTCCCGGGCGAAATGCTCCAGCATAGCATAGATAATCGCTCTCGGGGGGTGAGCCCACACTACGTGGCCCCGCAGATCCTGCTCGAACGCAGTCAATTCGGGGAAACACCAGTGGGGCGCAAGCGCCGTCAGGCCAGCGCGATCCGCAAACAAATCAAGCGAGAACGAGACCTGGCACCTCGCCTCTACATCCCGGAACAAGTCGCGACGCAGGACTGCCTCACGGAAGGGGCACTCTGCCCAAGCCAACGCGAAGCTTGGAGAGCGGGACCCGCTGTCGGCTACAGGATTGTGAACGCCGCGAATATGCACGGCGAGCGCCCAGCATTGCGCATTGCGTTCTGCCGCCTCGAACCCGCGGGCGAGCTCTTCTAGAGACGGCACCCTCCCGTACCGTATGTTCACATAGTGAACAGCCGCTGTGTTGTCCATGCGGAATAAAACCCGCCACCCTGCAAACGTCTGCCCCTCGCGCAGCAGGCATTGCAGGGCGACCCAGAGTTCCTTGTAGTTGATGTCTGTCGCACCGAGGTGGCCTTCGGTTAAGACAAAATCATCTGGCCACACGCCTGACACGACTCTGCTGTCGGCGCAGACATGGTACGACCAGCCTACGAGTTTTGATGCATCTGTCTCTATTACCTGGATGAGCCCCTCGTTGGCTAAGGAACGCCAGTTGAGGAACTCGGGCGATTTGTGCCCCCAGGAGGATAAGGAGCCACCCGCACAGTGCAGGGAACGCACTGGTGGAGACTCCAACGCTCGATACAGCCAATCGAGGTTCTGTAAACTCAACGGCGAGAGGTGCACCACTGGATCGGCGCTTGGCTGGGCTTGCCAGAGAGCGTACACGCCTGTGGAGTTCATGTCGACCCACAATGGGCGCAAGCGTCGTCGCGCCTGCGGCCAAATGTCTGCTATGTGAGATGCAAAACCTGCGGCGGTGGCAAGCTGCCTCGTTCTCAGAGTTTGCTGGCTGTTCGCAGCAATCAGCTCTAAGCACAAAGCCCGGCAACGCTCGCACTTCTCGTCGGGGACTGTCACTACACGACGGGCAGTATCAAAAATCCACCCTATCCAAACCTGTCGTTGGCTAGGGGGTCGGACGCCTGTGGGTTTCGCGCTCACGGGAATTCCACATTGGATGAAGAAACGCACGGCGGTGCGCAGCTGCCTCCACGCCTCATCCTCGCTCTCTGCGAAGCCGAGGAAGTCGTCGACGAAATCGAGCAGAGGCACAGCTTCTCTGACCAAGAGAATGCGAAGGATCTCCTTCACGGACGAGTCGTTCGTGCCCGGGGCCGGCTTTAAGCCGAAAGGAAGGTAATCGAACTTTCCGTAAGCACGGCGGACATTCGAGTAGAACCCCAAGAGGAACGTGTCTGCGTCCGCTACCTTCCAATTGAAGAACGAGTCTTGAAGGTCGATCACGTACATCCACGATCCAGCACCCAACATGCTAACGGCTTTTTCAATGGTACCGTAATTGACGTTCACCGCTGGGAGAAGATCATTAACCCCGCCCCGCCGAAGGTCGACAATTAATCGGGCCTTCAGCCTTTCGAACTCCGCCGCGTCCGAAGGAACTCCTTCCCTTTCCTTCAAGATGAGGCCGAGCGGATTTACGTTGAGCGCTGCCGGCTTGGCGCCTCCTGCAGGAAAGAATGATATCTTTCCCATCGATTCCAATCTATCTAGCTCCCGCTCAGCCCATTCTGGATTGTTCCGTGCCGATGGATGGTTGGGAAAAGCGCGGGCGACGTGACGGGAGGCTCCCAAAGACCGTCCATAGCGCCATTGTTCGAGAAACTCTGGCGAGGCCCCGCACAGCCTGAGGAAATCGAAGCGAAGTTTCAAACCCCGCACGTTCTCCCAATCGGCGAGGGCGGCATTTCCGAGCCGAATCTCCTCCCGGAGAGCCTCCATCTTGAGCCGGCCCAGCTGCGGCGCGACGCGGTGGCATGAGTATGGCAAATGCTGCTCTTGCTACCTCCCTGCTCCGACGCTCCCGTGCATTGTCCCCGCACTCCGCTTCCTGTCCAGACCAACACCTTGCCTCCTGTCCGACCGCGTCTGGGGAAGGGGGGGGGGGGGGCACAACCGAAACCATCCACCAGACGACCGACACGCGTCTAACCCTGAACCACACCCCAGAACCTACCGACCACATCACACCAGATCATGGCGACGCCTCCCCCCGCAGACGACCAGGGGGGGCGCGAAAAGCCACAGGGAGCCACGCCCCGGCCCCAAACCAAGCCCGCGGCAGCGCGGGGCCGGCAAGCGCCCCGACCTGGACAATCCCAGGCGCCTGCGCCCATGGAGACAAGACCACGACCCGACCCGCCCACCCAAGCAGAGCCGCCGCCACCCACGAAGCCCCCTTCACGAATGCAAGCCTCCTTCGAAGGAGCGCACTCCTCCTCCCACCCTCCTCCTCCTCACTCCTCCTCCTCCTCCTCCAATCCCCCTCCTCCCTCCCTCCCTCCCTCCCTCCTCCCTCCCCTCCCTCCTCCCTCCCTCCCTCCCTCCCTCCCTCCCTCCCTCCCTCCCTCCTCCCTTCCTCCCTCCTCCCTCCTCCCGTCCCTCCCCTCCCTCCTCCCTCTCCTCCTCCCCTCCTCCCTCCTCCCTCCTCCCTCCCCCGCCCTCCTCCACCCCCTCCTCCTCCTCCCTCCTCCTCCTCTCCTCCCTCCCTCCTCCCTTCCTCCCTCCCCCTCCCCCTCCTCCCTCCTCCCTCATCCTCATCCTCCTCCTCCACCTCCTCCCTCCCTCCCTCCCTCCCTCCCCTCCCTCCCTCCCTCCCTCCTTCCTTCCTTCTTCCTTCCTTCCTTCCTTCCCTTCTTCCTCCCTCCCTCCCTCCCTCCCCTCCCTCCCCCTCCTCCCTCCCTCCCTCCCCCTCCCTCCCTCCCACCCCCCCCAACTCATCACCCCCCTCTTGGACGCCCCCGAGCCTTCAGGGAGGCGTGCTGCGGGCCCACTCCTGGATAGTCGAGGCCGGCACTGATGGAGTGCGTTTCCTGGAGGAGCAAAATGAGCGGGCTGTTTGGAACGCCGCGCGGGGGTTCTGTGTCGGCGCTGGGCTCGCCTCCCTGGCGCGCAGAGAAGGCCATGGGCGGCGCTGGAGGCGCCGCGAGGGGGCCCGGGCGCCGACCCAAGCACTCCGCGCGGATTTCCGCGAGCCCATGTTCTTTTACCAGCCTGGAACATATCCCGATCCCTGAGGTTGGCATCACCTTATGATCTCGGTGCCGAGTATCATCGCCTTGGGCTTGTCATTCTTGGGGATCGGGAATTCGAGGCTGGTTAGTTTGTGCAACTGTTTGTTGTTGCTCCATCTCCTTAATCTGCCCATCCGGAGTCTGTAGTAGGTACGTCCGCGAACCGTGGAGCACACCCACCACGCCGTCGGTGAGCGTCGCCGCGTGCTTGTCCGTCCTGCTGCCGTCGGGCAGCCACGGCCCGTGCACTCCGCCCGCCTCGACGCCCACGATCTCCACGTCCTTGTCCCCGAGGAAGGCGGTGAACATGCCGATGGCGGAGGCAGACAAAGCGGCACGGACATCCACTCCCGTAGCTCCGCGCGGGCTTCCCGCGTCGGCGCTGCACCCCCCCGGCGGCGCCGCCGCCGCCCCCTCCCCGGCGCGCTGCGCGCACCAGGGAGGGGGGGTCCGAGAGATCCGCGCGGAGCTCCTGCGAACATTCACGCCCATGCCGTTTTCTCTCCTTCGGGATGGCGTTGGAGCCGCCGCCCACGCACGCCACTACGGTGTCCGGCAGGCGCCCCGGCCCGTTCGTGAAGGTCGGGTGGCCGGTCGGCCCGGTCGTCTGGTTCAGCATCTGCGCCCGCGCCTCGTTGCCGATGACGGACTGCAGGTCGCGGACGATGTCGGGGAAGGGGTGCGGCCCCACCGCGCTGCCGATGATGTAGTGCGTGGTCCGGATGTTCGTGACCCAATCCCGCAGCGCCTCGTTGACGGCGTCCTTCAGCGTCCGGCTGCCGCTCTTCACCGGGACCACCGAGGCCCCGAGCTCCCTCATCCTTCGGAGGAAGATCGGCAGCGGCAAGTGAGGGGGGCAAGTGAGAAGGAGAGGGCCTCCTCAGAAGACTCGGCAGTCCCCCAGCCTTCCGAGAGAAGTCTCCTGAGCCTCCCCCGAAGACAAAAGAAAAAAAAGCTCTCCGAGGGCGCGGAGGCCTCTGAGAAGTCCCGCCGCCTTCTGAGGAGGCCTTCTCTGAAGGGGCCCCAGGACACACAATTAATTGTGTCTGTGTGCTTTTTCCCCTCCTGATTCTCCTTCGAGGGGTTCCCCCCCTCGATCGCCGCCGAGGAGGGAGGCACCGCTGCACAAGCACAGCAGGCGTGCGGAGGTTCGCGAAGACCGCGCGGGTCGGCGCGGGGAGCCCCTCCCTGGCGCGCGGAGCGCGCCGGGGGGTGGCGCCAGCGTCGCCGCCATCGGGGGCCCAGCGCAGATCCAAGAACCCCACGCGGACCCACGGAAATGTTTATGCTTCGTGCTTCTCATCTTCCTATTCTTGTTATGTCGGGCGTGTCATCCTACAGGGGAATTTTCGAGGAAAAATGAAAACCCCAAAAATGCCCCGAAAAGATCAACAAATACTCAAATAATAATCCCCAGGCTATTTTTGGACTGTTGTTTGGCTATTGTTGTTGGTATTTTCGATGTTTGTCGACAATGCCCCTGGGCCCGATTTACAATTATTGTTATCCGTAGTGTCATCCATTCACTGTTGTGAGTCGTACGGGTACCCCCCTTCGGATCCTGAAGCAGTTCAGCTTCTGGCGCTCCGTGTCGATCTCGCCCATGTAGACGATGCACTCCAGGTCGAGCATCGCACACGCTGCGGCCGTCGCGACGCCGTGCTGGCCGGCACCCGTCTCCGCAATGATGCGCTTCTTGCCGAGCTTGATGGCGAGCAGCGCCTGGCCGACGGCGTTGTTGATCTTGTGGGCGCCGGTGTGCGCCAGCTCCTCGCGCTTGAACCTCGAGTAGGGGATCGACTGCAGAATCGATGTACCCCATAAGTGGCATGTTCGTCAAATCTACGCAGAAGACGTGGGACGTTCGTAGATCTGCAAGCATCTCAAATCTGGGGCAAATCGATTCCGTGGTCGATCCCCGACTCGAGAACCAGATCTGGGCGCCCCCGCACATCTCGCTGAGGCGCTTGGCGTGGTACAGCGGGGTCGGCCCGCCGATGAAATCCCTCCGGAGCCGCGCCAGCTCGGCCTTGAAGTCGGGGTCCACCTTTCGAACAGGGGATCCACCGCAGAATTGACCTACTCCAGGATTGATTCCCCGCCGAGTATGCAAGAAAAGCGTGGAAGGTTCGCGGATTTACGGGAAAGTAAACGTATTTGTTTCGTGAATGCGGTGGGAGAACCAATTCTCGGGTATTTCGGTTCTGTAGTCGATACCCCATTCAAGCCTTCCACTTCGCCCAGGCATCCTCCAGCTCCTGGTGGGCGACCATGAGCGTCTCTGGTATGAAGCGGCCGCCGAAGACCGTACTCTGGAAGTTCCACTTGTCCGCGTGCTTCTTCATCTGATCTGCCTCCGCCGCGGTCTTCTGCCGCTTCGCCGCCGGCTCCACGGGCTTCGCCGCGACTGTGCCCGGCAAGGGCCCCCCGCTCAGCTCGCGGACAAGCTTTCCGACTCCTTAGAAGAAGAAGAAGAAAAAACATAAACATGAATGTTTGGCGCTCCGCGCAGATTTCTTGGACCTGCGCTGGATCGGAGCGCGCCAGGGGCGGCGCCGGAGGCGCCGCCACGAGGGCCCATGAATCCGCGCGGAGCGTCAAAAGTTCATGTTTATGGCGTTTTTTCTTCTTCGACTCCTGCGACGCCTGACTTGGCGATCTCCGTCACAATCTTGGAGCCCACCACGCAGCCGTCCGCGAAGGCACCGAACTCCTGGACGTGCTCCCGCTTGGTGATGCCGAAGCCCACCACGACGGGGAGGTGCCCGCGCGGGCAGCCGAGGCGCTCGGCCGCGGCGCGCACGGAGTCCACGACCCCCTTGCACTCCTGCAGGCGCTTGGCCTTGTGGGCGTTCTTCTTATTCGGCGCTTAGCTGCCCCGATACGCAACACACAACACGTGGCGTATTGATACGGAGCTTCACACGTAGGCTGAAAACGTAGGTCCGACGCGATGCACTCGCCAAGACGTGGTGCAATACGTGGAGCAACACGCAGCGTGTTGACACGGACGTCTTGAACACGGGACGTATTGCGTGTCAAAACGGGCGTATCGAGGCAACTAAGATTCGGCGTGTCGACATTAGGCGGAAGGGGGGGGTGAGCGAAGGGAGGGGGGGGAGGGGGAGGGGGGGGGGGGCTCCGGCCCTCTGCTTAGCGCGACTGTCTGCAGCAGTGCGGCCGAGGGGGGAAGGGGCTCCACCCGCTCGACACAGGCGCCCAACACACAGCCAAGATCTGCTCCAGGGGGGGGGGGGGGGCGAGGGCCCGCGCCGATCGGCAAAAGAATTAATAAAAAACGATCACCTTGGAGTCGGCTGCTTCGGTGTCGCGGGCACCCGTGGTGCCGAGCAGCGACACCACGTAGACCATGCCTGGCGAGGGGGTGAGGGCGCACTCGGCCACCTGCGCGATGCGCTCTGGCCCGCTCGTGGGAGACGCGAGCGGGACGAGACTCAGCTTGTTGTTGGCGGCAGCGGGTGCCATCGCACGCCAGGCCTCCTCGCACGGAAGGTCGACAACAATGAATCCGTCAATTCCCGCAGCCGCGCACTCCTTGCACGTGGCCTCGATGCCGGCAGCAAGGAAAGTGTTGTAGTAGCCCATGAGAAGCACTGGCACTGTCAGGCCCTTCTCGCGGGCGTCCTTTGCGTACTTGATGCAGTCGGAGTAGACGGTCCCGTTCTGTATAGCCACAACGCTAGCAGCTTCGATCGCACTGCCATCTGCCATCGGGTCGGAGAAGGGCACTCCCAGCTCGATCACGTCTGCGCCCTCTTTCTCCATCTCCAGCATGGCTGGCACGGTGTCCGCCTTGGTCGGATAGCCCGCCGTCACAAAAGCCACGAAGGCTGTGCGGCCTGCATCGCGGCATGCCGCGAACCGGGAAGCCAGCCTCTCGGACATGGAGGCGAATCCAAGTAGCAAGGGGCACACGCGCACAAAAAAAAACTGGCACTGAAAATGCTGGAGCCAAAGTGGCATTTGCGACGCATCGGCGAAGTCGGCGACGCATCGGCGACGTCGGCGTGGAGAAAATCTGGCTCCTCATCGAGCCGCATCGTCGAGCCCACCTGGGAGGCCTGGACATCAGCCGCCCGCGCACCAGGCCAGCCCTGAGAAACGACTTCCTCGTCCTCGAGGTGCCCTAGCATCCTGGCGCGTTCTATGTGTATTACACAAATACATACATGCGTGTGCTTTGCATATGCATATGTCTATGTATGTGTGTATGTATGTATGTGTGGGTATGAATGAATGTATGTCTGTCTGTCTGTCTGTCGGTCGGTCTGTATGTATGTATGTGTATGTGTATGTTTATGTGTATGTGTATGTGTATGTGTATGTGTATGTGTATGTGTATGTGTATGTACGTATGCACGTATGTATGCATGTATGTCTGTCTGTCTGGCTGCCTGTCTGTCTGTCTGTCTGTCTGTATGTATGTATGTGTAGGTAGGAAGGTAGGTAGGTAGGTAGTTGTATACGTCTGTGTGTGTATGGATGGATGATGGATGGATGGATGTATGTATGTATACATGTATGTATGGATGGATGGGTGGGTGGATGGATGGATGTGTATATGTGTATATATGCACATGCATACATAACAAACAACGACGGAAGCCTTTTAGCCGTTTCTGGCCTCTGGGGCCATTACACTGGCCACGGGCTGTCCAACATCGACATTGGATGAAAAGCCGATTCGGAAGGGCTCCAGACCTCTGTGCCGCCACGATTTTCTCTTCGCGAAGCGCAGCCCAAACACACAGTTCTCACGCATCAGCCAGCACTGTGATCACATCATGCTGTCACTCAAACCGCGAGGCAGAAATCCAAGAGGAGGGGGAGGAGGAGGAAGAGGAAGAGGAGGAGGACAGCGGAGGGAAAGGAATGAGAGCGGAGAAGGAACCAAAATACAAATACTGCAATGTCCCCAGAGATCCGATGTCGTGAATTTTTCAATACGCGGTCCCCGGAAGTCTCGACCCATTCCCCAGGACCGGTTTTTCCCCTCAGCCGTTCTCTGACGGTCCCGGGGCCCGGCGAGGGCCCCTAGAGGCCGAGAATTGCAAAAAACCTCCATCTTGACTTTTTCAATACGATGGATCCCTGGGTCCCCGCCCTCGGCCTACGTCCCCGGGCCCCCTGGGGAGCCACTCTGTGCAAAAGTCACGGCGTCGGACGACAGGGTGCGAGGGGAGTGAGCATCGTTTAACCGATCCGCATCCCCAGCGGCATGGCCTGGGCCCCACTGGCCGATATACCCCCCTGGATGGGGATATCCCCAACTGGGGTGGTAATTTACTGGGGGTCTCGAAGGGGATGAGCATGGAGATTGGCAGGAGAGCCCAGAATCGCATCGATCAGTCGGATAGGCGATCGAAATGAGTCGGATCGGCGGAAATCAGCAGCCGAGTCGGGGAAAGTCGAATCGACAGGAATCGGCAGGTTATTAGGCCTGCATTAAGACATCGGAGCCCAAATCGGAATCTGGAGTCATATCGAATCGGAATCGAAATGAGCCCTGATTGGAGTCGAATCGAATCGAGTCGGAAGAATCGAAACGAGCCCTGATTGGGGCCGGTCAAACGATACTGAGAACAGCCTCCGGTGCACAAACCCCAGGGCTCCCCATATTCTCTCATATACTTTCTGCGTTTTCGTCGTCCCCCCACTTCCCATATTTTCCCTATATTCTCCTGGGAGTCGACGATCCATTGTGCCTGTGTTTTTGCCCTCCTGAGAGTCGGGAGCACCGGTCCCGAGCCGCCTCGCGGCCATGCCCGCGCGGCAGCCTGCCAATATCGAACGCTGCGCATCGGCCCGGAGGGCGACGAGGGCGAGGAGAACGAAGGGGAGAGCCTCCTCCTCCTCCTCCTCCTCCTCCTCCTTCTCCTCCTCCTCCTCGTCCCCCTCCTCCTCCTCCTTCTCCTCCTCCTCCTCCTCCTTCTCCTCCTCCTCCTCCTCCTCCTCGTCCCTCCTCCTCCTCATGCTCATCCTATCCTCCTCCTCCTCCTCCTCCTCCTCCTCCTCCTCCTCCTCCTCCTCCTCCTCCTCATTCTCTGCCTCCTCCTCCTCGAGAGGCAGGAGGAGGGAGAAGGGACGAGGGAGAGGAGGAGGAAGAGGAAGAGGAGGAGGGGGAGGGAGTAGGAGAGGGAGAGCGAGAGCGAGAGCGAGAGCGAGACAGAAAGAGAGAGAGAGAGAGACAGAGACAGAAACAGAGATTGAGACAGAGACAAAAACAGAGACAAAGACAGAGACAGAAACAGAGACAGAGACAGACACAGAGACAGAAAAAAAGAGACGGCGAGAGAGAGGGAGAGAGAGAGAGAGACAGAGAGACAGCGAGACAGACCTCGTCTACCAACTACTCCCCCTCCTCCTCCCCCGCCTCATCCTCCTCATCACCGGCATCAACAAAACCATGTGTCGCCGCGCCGAGTGATCTCCACGCGCCCACATGGACGATCCCGACACCATGGAAAACTCACCCCGCGCCCCAAAGAAACGGAACCCAGAACCGCGGAAAGCCCACGGCGAAGCCACCGCGTCCGAGGCTGCGTTTGTACCCGGGTGCCCAAGACGCAGGGCCGCGCGTCGGAACAAACGGCGCGGCGAAAGATTGATCGCCGTCACCACCACTGCCGCCATCATCATTAGCATCGCCACCACCACCAATAATCATCATCACCACCATCACCCTTTATCATCGTCATCGTCGTCATCATCAACAATCATCACCATCGAGAGAACGAGTTTCAGGGACGCTCGCCCGGAAAATGACTCCGCCACAATGGCAGTGGCCCCTAAAAAGAAAACGTTCAGCGCCCCTGGAGAACCGGGAGGGGGCCCCTCCTGGCTCCCTAACGAGGGCAGGGGGGCTTGGGGGGGATAAAAAAAGGGGGCGCCGGAGGGGAGGCGCCCCACTGAATTGCCAAGGGGGGGGAGCGAACGGAAGGGGGGGGGGCCCATCCCTGTCCAGGGGGGGCGAGTTCGAACCAGGAGGGGGCCCTCCCCCGGAGCTGTAAGGGGAGCACGTGGAAGAGGGGGGTGTTCGAACAAGGATGGGCCCCCACTCCCCGACTTGCGGGGGGGGTTCGAACCAGGCCCCCCTCTCCCCCCAAGCCCCCCCTGTGCGCGTCGTCGTCGTCAGCGGTCGCTGTTGCCGTAGTCGTCGCCGCCGTCGCCGTCGCCGTCGCCGTCGCCGTCGCCGTCGCCGTCGCCCCGTCGCCGTTGCAGTCGCCGTCGTCGCCGTCGTCGTCGTCGTCACCGCCGCCGCCATCGTCGTCGTCGTCATCGCCGTCGTCGTCGTCGTCGTCGTCGTCGTCGTCGTCGTCGTCGTCCGTCGCCGACGCCTTCGCCGTCGCCGTCGCCGCCGCCGCCCCCGGCCCCGCCCCCGCCGCAACCGTCGTCGTCGTCGTCGTCGTCGTTGTCGTCGTCGTCTTCATCGTCGTCGTCGTCGCTGCCCGGCGGCGCCGTCGCCGGCGATGGCGCTCGCTGTCGTCGATTGCAGGGGGGGTCCCCCTTCCGGTTCGAACACCCCCAGCAACTCAGGGGGGGCCCTGTGCGCGTCGTCGTCGTCAACGCCGTCGCCGTCGCCGTCGTTAACGCCGTCGCCGTCGTCGTCGTCGTCATCGTCGTCGTCGTGGTCGTCGTCGTCGTCCTCGTCGTCGTTGTCGTCGTCGTCGCTGCCCGACAGCGCCCGCACCGGCGCAGGCGCCAAGGGGGAGCCCCTCCAATTCGAACACACCCCCTCCCTAGCAACTCAGGGGGGGCCCCCCTGTGCGCGGCGTCGTCGTGGCCATCGCCGTCGCCATCTCCGCCGTCGCCAGTCGCCGTGGCCGTCGCCGTCGCCGTCGCCGTGGCCGTCGCTGTCGCCGTCGCCGTCGCCGCCGCCGTCGTCGTCGCCGTGGCCGTCGCCGTCATCGTCGTCGTCGTCGTCGTCATCGCTGCCCGACGGCGACGGCGCCGAGGCCGGCGCTCGCCGTCGTCGTTTGCGGGGGGGAGGGGGCGCAGCTGTTGCGAACCCCTCCCCTTGCAACCCCGGGGGGGGGGCCCCACGCCAGTTCGAACCCCCCCCCCCGGGTCGAACCCACCCCCACCCTTTGCAACTCAGTGGGAGGGGGGGCCTCCGGTTCGACCCCCCCCCCCCTGCATCTCGGGGGGGGGGGGGCACAGCCCAGCTCGAACCCGCCGCCCTTTCACAGCGTCCACAGAACGTGCTCTTTCTCATCATCGCCATCGTCATCCTTCTATATACTGTGTATATATGGAGAGATCATTGCCTCCCCATGTACCCTGACATATACATATATCATTACCGCTCGAAGTATTGTTGCCTTTACTGTTTTAAACTGACTGCTCCTAATTCTCTTCTGGTTATGATTGATGTTCCTCCTCCTCCTCCTCCTCCTCCTCCTTCCTGCCCGCTTCTTCCTCCTCCTCCTCCTTCTCCTCCTGCCCTCCTCTTCTTTTTCAGCCTACTCCTCCTCCTCCACAATCAAACAATATGAATACTACTCTCCTCTCTCCTGGTGGCGTCCGGGAAATGGCCGCACCCCCCCCGCGTACTGGTTTTCTACACGCAGGATTCTGGGGAAACGGGTTTTCGCTCAGGTGTTTTTGTTCGAAATGGTGCTGACGCGAATGCGCTGGCCTCATTTTCGGGCTACAGCTCGTTCCGAATCGTGCTCCCGCTGCAGCGCTGGCCTCATTTCCGCGCTTCCGCTCGTTCCGAATCATGTTCCAGCTGCAGCGCTGGCGTCATTACTTCCAGCGACATGTCACGGCATGGTTTTGAAACCTTCCAAATGGGCCACAAAATCTGAAAAATGCCCCCCCCCCCGAAACAACCATCGGAAGTGATTACACATTCGGTGTCGACTCGTTGATTTCTTGCGCCGCAGAAGCCCCCCCACATTGGGGCGTCGCCACACCATGCTATGTCAGGCTACGCGGCCTCAT